CAATCACATGCCACCTACCTACGTAGGCCATCTGCAGGCCCCATAGCACCTTCCTTTCCCCTGCAACCACCAACAAAGTAAGTACAGCCTTCCCTCACCCATATCTCACCAGCGCATACAGCTATGATCGCGTAGGTACGATATTCTTTTTCGTAAGATCATATATACTATAAAAATGATTTTTCCCGGTCAGATTTGCGTCAAAATTAGGTTATCTGATTTTGGTAGGCAAAAAGGCCTTTTTTAGCATATTTTGCAATATCCTACAGCACTCTACATATACATACTGACTTCTCCATAGGTTTACTCACTATTAGATCTGTATGTGGTTATATAGATCTCCTCTAGGCTTTTACGTGCCTATACACTCTTCATCCGTCAAACAGTCAAGAAGGCTCAAGTTAGCCTAGCACTATCCCTTACAGCTTTATACTAGCTAGTATAGACTAGTATCAATATGATAGCTTGTAAGACAGCTGTATATAAGGCTGCAGAGGCTGCTGCAGACAATAAGAGTCGTGAGGAGTAGAATAAGCCCTTGTATATAGTTGAGGAGGCTTATATTGAAGCTTTATAGCTTAATATAGCCAAGATCGACTTTATTAAGGAAATAACATTCATATATAATGGTAAAGAGATCGTTTTACCTATCAACCCTGACAAACAGCCTAAGGATAAGGCTATAGTGACTGGTTGGATGCTTAAAAACATTATAAAGAGCTTATATAAAGATATATAAAAGATCTTGCTTAATACTGGCGGTATATATATACTTCTATCATTCGGTTTCCCTAGTATAGTATTGATCAAGCTTATATAGATTCTTATATATAAGATTGATCTTAAGTCTATAGTTGATAAGGATAGTTATATTATTATACTTTTAATCAAGAAAGATCGTTAGTAGTATATGTCTACCTATATTGGACATTTGGCGTAAGAACTCTTATAGTCTAGTATAAGATCGTATAAGCTAATATAAACCAGGTTCGACCTTATATATATTAGTATAGATTGCTATAACAATTGTAGAAATATATATATCGATAATCCTTTTTATATATGTGTAAGCGACGCTGGTTATACCTAGGATGGTATATATACTTGCTATCAGTTTTGTTTATAGGCTAAGAGATATTTTTATAAGTTGATATAGTTTCTATAATAGTATATAGATCTATACTAACTTATATAGTCTCGACTATATTTAAGCTTACTATAAAGTCTTCTAAATATGCTTATGATGATGATAATCTAGAGTCTCTTTCTGAGTATAACTTTCCTTCTAAGAAGATTAAGCTTATATAGTCTTTTATTCTAGCTATATAAACTTCTTTAGAGACTAACTTCCTTAGTCTTATAAGTAATAATGCTCTTTAGGCTCTATAAGATGCTGTAGAGTATGAGTTGACGATATGTTATAACGAGTAATCGTATATGACGATATAGATGACCGTATGGATGAGTACTAGGCCTCTATAGGCTGATATATAACCATTTGGTTAACATCCTTTCGTTATGACAATATTTTGACTCTATATGATTCTATATATCTTCGTTTAGCTTCATTCAGCCTAGTATATAACCTTATTGGTTTTGGTTGGCTTAATACAAACTTCTGCCACAATAAATATACTTATTGAAGGAAATCTTGCTTTTTTGCTTCCTTTGCTTGCCTTTATAGTATTATACTTTAGATAATATCCCTATGCTGGGAAAATACCATTCTCATACTTTTTAAAACGGCTTTATACTGACTTATACTATGATATATATGCCTATATACTGCTATTTCGTTATATAAGCCATTTTTGATAATCTTTACCTACAAAATCTTTTCTTAAGTCTAAATCTACAACTTTATATAGGCTTATTTTTAGTAAATCAATACTGATTATGTCTAGCCGTCCGTCAATCAATTTTGATTAGTATTAAGATACTATAAAAAGTCTATTAAAGGATGGCCAAATAATTACTAAAGTATATGAATATATTCAGACTCTTATATTAGTAAACTTTCAAAAACATATCTTAATATACTGAATTTAGTAATGGGGGCTTAGGCGTTAGAAGTATATAGAGCTATCTTCTGAATTATAAAATGAGATGATATCAATGTT